GCATTGCGATTGGGAGAGATCCTCCCAAAGTTGGTAGAGAAGGACCAGGGGGCGTTTGTCCAGGGCACATCCATTTCATCAATATCCTGACAGCAATTGAGAGCATCGAAGTAATACAAGGAGAGAACTTGGATCTAGTTGTGCTGCTGCTCAACATGGAAAAGGCGTACGGCTAGGTGGGCTGACCTTTTGTGATGACGACATTGAGGAGACTAGGCTTCAGGCATGGATTCTGCAAATGGGTCATTGCCATGTATACCATGGCCACGTCCGCATTACAAGTCATTGGTCACCTCTCAAAGACCTTCCATTTCACTAGATCCCTGCGCCAGGGCTGTCCCCTGACACCCCTCCTCTTTGTGTTACAATTGGAGATTCCCCTCAACCGTATCCCGCACCATCCTCAAAATAAAGGCCTCCCAGCCAAGGCCCTGGTTGATGACCTCTTCTTGATTTCGGCCAATACGGTGGAGTCGTTGGAGGCGGTGAAGGAGGTCCTGTCAGAGTACTCGCTGCTCTCTAAAACCCAGGTGAATTGGTCCAAATCGACTTATCTCTCGCCGGAAGGTCGGGGACTGCAAGTGGAGTGGGGAATGCAAAGAGTAAACCCGAAGACTGGGGAGAGGTATTTGGGGGTAATGGTAAGCACCCAGTTGATGAGCATCACCCAAGGGGCGATCTTGCAGCAAAGAATCGTGGCCAAATTAAAAGTCTGGGGTCCAGAGGGACATTTGTTCTTATATGGGGGAGCGTTGGTCATTAATGTTTCACTTGTCTCCCTCATCTGGTTTGTAGGAACAGTAAGAGAACTGGCAGGGGCTGTCATAGCAGAGATTCGCAGATTGGCAGCGAGGTTCCTATGGAAACCACGCGGCCGGGAGGAGGGAGGCTTTTTAAGGAAAGTGGTGTGGGAACTCATTACATTTCCCAAAGATCAAGGAGGACTAGGTCTGATAGACCCTCAGCGAAAGAATCAACCACAACTCAAACAGTGGCTGGCTAAGGTGGCAATGGCAGAGAGTAAGGATGATTGAATTTTGTTAGCAGAGAAACTATTAATGAGGGAGTGGCAGCTCGGCCGCCCAGAGGATGTATGGGTATGTTTTTTTGTGGATTCATTTATGAGAAAGAAACTGTCCGCAGAGTTCTGGGATGCTGTGAGGAGGGCGTGGCTTAGGCACCCACCAGAGGTAAGGGAGCCGCCGAAGACGAAAGAGGAGGTGCTGCGGCAAGGGCTATTTGAGAACTATTTTATTTTGAATGAAGAAGGCACTGTCTTCCGGGCCAATGCTTCCCCTGGGTCGTTCGGCGAGGCCTGGATACGAAGGGAAGTCTCAAGAGTTGCTGATCTCTGGTCTGAGTCACTGGGAAAGTGGAGGCCATTCACAGAAGTACATCACTGCCTCCAAGGTCTCTGGCACTCGAAGGAACACTGACAGCAGATCCTACGGGCCATCCCAGCAGAATGGCAATTCCTACTGGGCCCTAAAGGAGTGGACCGGGTGGGAACTTGGTAAGACGGGAAGGGAGGAACTGTGGGAACTCCAAGGTTTAACACATGGGGGATTCAGAGAAGTCAGGAGATGGTCAACAGCGGAACCTTCTTCTACTCTAGTCCCTGTGGGGGAAGAAGTAATTAGACAGTGGGCTAACCCACCACAGGCAAGGGTCATTCAGTATCTGAACCGAAGGGGAAATGTGCTGTCCACAGTCTGGGTGGGAAGAACCTCCCTCAGAAAGCTGACAATCGACCCGAGGGCATGGAGATGGAGAGAGGGAGTGGCCTCAAGGGCAAACCCCCAAGGGTTAAACCTCTCAAATTTCTCAGTGGCAGAGTCCTACAGACTGGCAAACAGAAGAGAAAGAAGCCCAGCGAGTGTAGCAGTTGCTAGATGGGGTGCAGTCCTAATGGAAGATCTACAGGAGAGGGAAGGTGATTTCATAAAACTGTGGAATGTGCTGCTCTCCCTACCGGAACTCAAACAGGCCAGTCTGCTATGGATGCTATCTCTTCTGGTTACTCCTTCAACGGTGTGGCTCTGCAGCAGAGGGATGGAGGTGGCCCTGAAATGTTCACGCTGCTCCTGGCCGTTCGAATCTACCAAACACCTGTGGTGGGACTATCCGGCGTCGAATAGAGTGTGGAGATGGTGGGAAGACCATTGGAGAAGAATGGGAGGGGAAGGTATCGAGTGGGATGAACAATGGGCCCTACTGGGCTTTGTGAGAGAGGAGCAGTCAGGAAAGAAGGGATGGCCGTATGTAGCCCATATGGCCAGGGCAGTCATCTGTTCCGTCATTTGGGCGGACAGGAACCGGTCCAGATTTGAAGGACGGCCACTCTCTGATCGGGAGATCAAAGCAAGAATCAAGGAGGATCTAAGAAGAGCCATCTGGGCTGACTGGCGCAGGAAAGTCAGGAGTGGCAGGGGCCCAAGGAGACATCTTTGGTGGTTCTTGATATCCTGGGCCAATCACTCTTCTCGAGGATTGGTAATCTCCACGTGGTTAAGTGCGTGGGTAGACCAGGAAGGGATGTGGGTAGGGGTAGGGGAGGAGGTCGAATCACTAGAGGGGAACAGGGTATCTCGGTCAGTAGGGGGGAGGCTAGAGAGTACCAAGGCTATAATCAGGGCACTCGGTTCTTTCGGGACGCAGTGGTCCAGTAGGTGAGTGCCAAGGTATAAGGAACGGTAGGATGCTTTCCACAGATCGGATAGATCTGTTCCACAGATCGGATAGATCTGGTCGTCGTCGAGGTAGACGGATTAGGGTAGTAAATACTTGCAGTAGGCGATGGTTTAGAAAGGGAAGAGGCATACGAATAAGCTGGAAGAACAGTTACGAGATGGCAAAATTAGCAAGTACGGATAAAAGAGCAAGTTTCAAGTGTTCAATTGAACCAGACAGACAGATGTTTGGCATCATTTGAGGCGAGGAGTACAGTTTCGCAGTCGGAAGTTTATAAGCTAAACTGGCTGATGCTGCCAGGATAACACTGGGTTGAATTGTGAGGTCCCCGGCCTCGAATGTTATCTTTGGAATATAAAGTTCATGTTTTGAAAAAAAAAAACGAAAAAAAAGTAACGAACGGAAACAAAAACGGGCGTGGCAGGGGGGGAGGGGAGG